ATCAGAATAGTTTTTCTACTGAAAAGCACTGTTGATACCTCTCTACGACCTTGCTTAGATAAAAGCCCCTGGAAATGCAGATGCACCTCCTGTTAACATCACTGAAAAGCCTCCTGCAGACTTCACAGCCCTCAGATACACTTCTTGCACAGAACAGTGAACGCGTGTGGCACTGGCGTGGGGGAAACAGCTGAGCATGTACAACAATTAGCTTTATAAATGTAAGGCTTCAGCTATTGTCTTAGTGGCCTGTCCCTGGGGATCCTCGGCGTTACTGTATTATTGATGATGCTAAATGGGGTTTTCAGCAAAGCTGTTTTGAAGGCTTGCAAATGCCAAAACAGCATTTCAACCCATTAAAGTCAACAGACAAAACCGTTTCTTCTAAAAATAATCACTGGTTCTTCCCACCAGAAAAATTTAAAAAAGCAAAAAGAAAAAGCAAAAAGCAGAAGCCTGGCCAGTTCCTAACGTGCCAAGTTGCAGGCAAGACTCATTTTACAGCGAAAGCTCAGAGAAAAATTCAGATGATGGAAGCAGCAATGGACACGGATGGTAGGTGAAGAGTGGCCGCCCTCCACAATGGGGCTGAGCAATGTGGGCAACCACATTCCACCCTGCTAACCCCAAGTATTCCTGTTCCCAGGAAAAGATGGGATGTCTTAACTGCTGCTAACATCCTCACCATTATAACATCCTCACCATTATAACATCCTCACCATTATAACATCCTCACCATTATGTGGATGCAAATACAGTCACGAGGCAATTACCAGCCCAGCCAAGGGCCAGGCATTGTGGGGCTGACAATAGCTCCTCCAGCCATTTAGAGGAGGAATAAATACCCTCAACCTTCTCCAAGATTTTAAGTCTCATTAGTATAAATCAGTAACCCAATTAATGAGGGTTTTAGCATATTGATTTGCATCAGATTACAGGAATTAATGACACACATAGCAGGAGACAAAGCAGCAGGGCATGAAGATGAACGGCGATGCAAAGCAAGGTGCTGCAGAGCGCTGATTCCCACTGAACCTCCTTTCAGAGCAAAGCTCTCCTATCAGCTTGCTCATCCTCTGCTGGAGATGTGGCAGTGCTGCAGGGGCACAACCCCGGGATCCTCACCCCATCCTCAGTGCCGAGCTGCTCCAAACATGGTGGGCATTACTGGACCAAAACCCCAAGCAGGTTTGTTGGCTGATTGCTGCCCTTCCCACGGCATGGCCCATCCTGAGCTTCCAAGAGAGACTGGCTTATGAAACGTGCAACAAGGGCAGGAGGTGGAGATTTTAAGAGCTGCTTTGGGATGAATACGAAAACTCTTTTGTCTTAACATGTCCAGGGCTCTGCTGGAGGTTAAAAGGAGGTGCGCTGTGGCAGAGGTGACAAAGACAAGAGGATCCACAGCAAAGAACAAGTAGTATGGGAAAAGCCAGCCAGGTCAACACAGAAACAAGGGACAAAGTAAATGACAGAAGGATCCCAAAGGGAATGTGGGGATCAAGGCAGAGCAAGTTCCAGAGAAGCAGCACCCAGTGGGAGGGAGATGGGAGGGCAATGCAGCACTGGGACCCACCGCCAGCAACCTCTGCTTGGTGTCACATGCAGGGTTTAAATGTGCATTTCTTACCTGGTAATCCTGTACCACCTGCCAGGTATGGCCAATATCTCCTCCCAAGCCCCATCTCGGCAGACTGCCCAAACCAGGGCAGCTAAAGGGGAAGGTCCCATTCAGATGAAGACAAAGCATGCCTTCCCCTCCCCTCCAGGCAGGCAGCCCCTCCTTGCTCCAACAGTTATAAAAGGGCTCTCAATCCATGTAATCCATTAGATACAAATTACAGCAATTTAAGCACACTTGACTCAGAATTACAGCTAGCCCATAAAGAGCTGTGTCTTCCCAGGCAATTTACACTGTTACATGCCCTCAGACAAACCACGGCAGAGGATTAAAAAAATATAACAACAAAAAAGAAACGAACAAAAAAAAAACCAAACACATCAGCAAAACAAAAACAAAACAACAGCAAAGTGGTGGTACTTGAAACAGCATTATCACAAACTGTTAGTACTGAGGTTGGATTACATTCAGGTGGTCAAAAAAAAAACCAACAAAACCTGCCACTACTACACAATCATTAGTCAACATATGTCTTGCAGATATGGATCACCTTAAATCATTAATTCATTGTCATGTGAAAGAAAATGCCACAAAGGAATGCAGCAAAACTGCTCAGGACAGGGAGACAGCAGCATCAAGCCCAGGGGCACTGGAAAGAACAGCACAGGACAGGGCTGACCCAGAGGCATTCGCTCTTGGCCACAAATCCCACTCTGTAGTGGGATTCTCACCAGCCAGGAGTGGGACTACAAAATGAAGGTGCCATTTATTTTCTTCTAACGGGAGATGGATGTATTCAGGTTTGTAGCAGCAACGATGCCCTCCAGCTCCCACTGGCACAAATCCTTGCTGCTCAGCACCCGAGATGTCCCAGCCGTGCCCGTGTTGGTAAGACCTGCCTATCTGCTGCCCCCAGGATGGGGATGTGCCAGCGAGTGGGCCTTCCACAGCTGAGAAATGCTGAGGTTGTGTGCTAGAAAGCAAAGACAAGGCAGCAGAGCTGACATGAGGGCAACCACACAGCAGGCAGCCACTTTCACAGCAGGAAGGTAGGAAGGAAGAGTGTGTCAGAGGTGCTGGTAGGGTGACAAACAGGGCCACGGGTTACTGTAGGACACGCTACATTAAAAGCATACAAATAAATGGGAAGGTTTTTTTTTTTTTTTTTTTTTTAACATGCCCTGCTCTTAAGTGTCTGATACCAGGTGTCAGTGCGAGCAAGGAGCCAGCTCTGAGGCAGAGGTCAAGCATCCAGCCAAACAACAAGCAAATGGCAAGGGAAAGTTCAGCACCATCAGGTTTCAGAAATAATCAAAAATTACAGCAGCTCCTCTCACTGGATTCTTTATTCCGACTCTGGAAGTACACCACCTTCTCTTTCGAAGCCCACCAGTACTTCATTCATTTCAATAATAAATCTATGCATGGAAATTGTTCTTTAAAGTACGGCCATAATGGCAATGGTTATATGGAAAAAAGAAACACTGGAAGGAATGGAGCAGATGCCTTCTGGCCAGCCAGCAGCCCGCCTCGGTCCCACCCGTATGGTTTAGTTTACGAGCTCATGTCAGAGAGCCGATTTCACACACAAACACAAAATAAAAGCAGGAACACAACTTTTGATCATCCTACATTGATGTTTACTCTTGTTTCCTGTAGCCCCAGGTGACAAATCTGTCCTTGATATAGCAGAGGACTGTTGTGCTGTTAACAGCATCAGCTGGACATGTTTAAAACGCACGTCAGGTCTTTGCATTGTCCACTTCTACCAAGCTAGTGAGTAATAATTAGTAAGCAATTAGATGTAAAATGATAAACATAAAGTCAGAAATGTTCTTCTTTAAGTACATGCTGGGCAGAAGGCTCAAAAGAGGAGAATTTACAAGCAACGTTCTGACAGATGAACACTTAGGCTAAAAAGTGAGATGCTGGAAAAGTCAGCCACTCCGAACACAAGGGCTTTTGTTCCACCATTCTCTGAGCTCTGAAGAAGTTTAATTTTTTTTTTTTTTTTCTTCCTTTAACTTTGCCGGCCTGCCAGCTGGGTATAAGCCAGAAGGGTTATCCAGTCAGACCTTAGCGTGGTGTATTTACAATGGGAGTGCATCTAAGGTTTGTTTATTTCAGGGTTAACATTCAAATGGCTAGAACCATTTAAATAATTAAAGGGCAATCAGAAAAAAATGCCATGAAACCAAACAAATCAGTAAAAGTCATGGAAACCATCAGCAATATTTAATTCAGAAATTCTCTTTGTTAGGGAACTTAGCTGAAAGAAAACAGCTGGATGTAGTTCAACCCTCTAAATTAAAAACAATCTAACAAGGTCTATAGGGATAACTCTTTCAGCTACATATTGGAGACCAGATTCACTTCTACCAAGTAAATGTAATAGCACTCAAAGCTAGAAAGGAAATTCCTCAGAACTGAGGTAGTTTCTAAGTATCAGCACATTTTCCAATTCCTCACAAGGCAACTTAGCTATTTACAATCCATTTTTTCCCACACATAAATTTATAACTTTTTCAGTTTTATGCTTCCGTGATTTATTTTCTAAAGAAAAATAGCCAGAATATCCCTACTCCACTAACATCATGTTTTAATAAATAACGGGCTACTTCTAGCAAAATTAAGCCTCCAGGATTGTTTCCACCGGCCAAGAATACTTCATCTTTATAGCTTTGCAGAAATTTGGTGTGAAAATAAAGTTGAATATAACGCTGACCCTGAGCTAACAAGTAATTAATGCTTCAATATAAAAATAGAAAATTATCCTTACAACACAAGACTGGAATACAGCAAACTTTTTTTCTCTCTCTCTCTGGATTGTGTTCCTGGCTGGATCCCAGCACCCAGCCAGACCTAAAGGCTATACCTAAAGCAGGAGACACGCAGAGTAATTCAGAGTCTTTCTGAAGACTCTTTTTCACCCCCCCCCCCCCCCCCCAAGGTCTTTATATTGTTATTTTCTTTCTTAAGAACAAAATTTCTTTTATTAATGAATTGCTGTTCATCACTATGCTGTTCCAACCACAAAAGGCACAGCTAGAGAGAGAAGGGCATCTCAGGCAGTGCTGGAAAGCTGTGCTTGCTCAGTGCCAGGGCACCAGGTCCCAGGTGACCAAATGCACTAAAAAGGGGCATTTTCAGCCCAGCCAGCTCCTACCCCCATCTGTCTGCAGCACTGCAGCTCTGCCTGGCTGGTCCTTCCCCTCTGCACCCAACCAAAGCTGCAAAAACAAAACCAGCAGCCCCCCCTGCTTCACCCTCGGCAAAGTATTCCTAAAAACAATAGTAATAATAATAAATCCAGCGCTCATCTAACAGATTTGCAGTCAAGACAGGTGTTGGCATTTGGATCTGTGACACGACAAGTTGCTTCCAGCTGAACAAGTTTAATGCCTTATTCCCATGGGGGATGCATGTTGGGGACTGACCTACACGAGTTACAGCTAATCGCAAGGATCCGGGGGAACACGTGATATAACTCTTCTCAGCATCCACAAAACTGGATTTCTCCACAGTCTCTTCCAATTTAACCAGACATCCTGTAAAGAAAGTACAACCTGCTCCTGGCATCACCACCTTCTGCACATGGGGCGTTTGGCACGCTGACCAGCTCTGCCTTCATCTTCTTTTTCATCATAAAGACAAATTCCTTCCACTTCTTTCCAGATAAGGCAACTAACATAAGGCGGATAAATGGGAAGTTAACTACATGAAACACGTTTTCTGCTTGTTTGGTAATTATTTTTCCCCACAAGATAACATGATAAATAAAACCTGCTTCTGTACAGATATTCCTCATTTCAGAAACACATACTTGTTACATGCCAAGAGAGGACCGTGGGTTTCTTCTTCTCGTAAAAGATGTGGTAAAATAAAATAACATTAAAAAAAAAAAAAAAAAAAGAAAAGTGATAAAGACGAATGCAGAGCTAACTACAGGCTTGTATATACATTTTTGTTATCCACCTCTATCATGGACTCTTGGTGAACGGGACAGACTGACAGGCCCCATTCCTGTTAATCCCAGAATAGCAAGGGAAAAAAATACCAGTATCTTAAAACCAGTGGCAACATAGTAAAAACTGTACACTGTTGTCCATTAACTTAAAAAGCAAAGTCACTAGATGGTATAAAAGAGAAAGCAGGTGCCTTCTAACGTTTGATAATAAAAGTCTTGTTTTTCTCCCTATGCTGCACAATTATCTCCATTGTCTTTGCATGGCCAAGACCAAAATGCTAAGGAACAAGGCTGCTTGTGATAAACCGCTACTGGGAGCGGCAGAAGTGTTCACTTTTTTATCACTCTTGTTGGAGTTTCCAGTAACTTCAGTCGCGTTGAACTCGAACTCCGTGGAGCACTGCTGGAACTCACAGCCGCTGCCGCTCTCCTCCCCGCTGCTCTCCTCACCTGCAGGAAAGAGACACGCTGCAGCCCTCTGCCTTCTGCAGCCCAACACTTTGCTTGCAAATGGCAGAAGAGAGAGAGAGAGGGAGAGGAAGAAGACAACAAACGCACAGACATTTCCGTGATGCTCTTGGTGTAAGGAGACGGCTGATGCCCCGCACTGCAGAGCACTTTCGCATTGATGAGCCCCCTTTCAGAGCCTGCCAGACACGTAATTCCCCACCCTCCTCACCAACACGCTTATGTTAGCTGATGCTTAACCAGCTACCCTGCGTGTTAGCATGAAACCCAATTAAAAATAAATAAACAAAAGGCAAACGACAGCTAACGTACTGACGTCAATGAAGTCGACGTCGTTCCCACTGTACGCATTCTTCAGCTTGTTGGTCATCACCCTCAGAACCATGATTTGCCGGCGAATCACCATGTCTGGCTTGGTAATATCAACTTCCACCTCTGGGTTGTTCACTTGACTCGCTAAGCCGTTTCCAGTCACTGCAAAGTCGTACCTACAAAGAAACCGCTGCGGCTGTTACTGGAGCTGCGCTCAGGAGGGATCATGACAAAGGGTGAGAGTGGGGAAATCCAGTGATGCCACCCCCCATCTGGTGATTTCCTGAGCCTAATGCCTTCTTCCCACACATTAACTCTCATGAAGCACTTCTTCAGTACCTCGCAGCCTTTGGAGCATGGAAAAAAATCAAACAGTGTTTTCAGATACCCTGCACCCCTGTGATTGGAAAGCTAAGGAAAAGAATTTTCTTCCCAGTCCAAAATAAAAAAAAAAAGGAAGATTGGAGGTTTATAATAATAATAGCTTACAACAGCATAAATCAGCTTGCTGCAGGCAACACAGCAAACGAGCCGTTGAGCTGCCTGATGTCCAGTTAGATGACACTTCTGGGAAAACAATCTTTGGGGTCATAGCTACACCCACGAAACCTATGGGAACTGTGGGAGGCAAGAGACATTCTGGTTTTGCATAATGTGCCTTTGCAATCAAGCTGTGGTATTATAGACGTACTTCTTACCACGCAGACATGAGATGCAATTTCTCTAATAACCCCGGCAGGAAAAACATCTGTGATTTTGAAAATGAGATAACATAACCCAGCTCATCGAAGCAGACAGCAGCCGTCCTGCTCAGCCTGAGGAGGTGTGCATGCTTAGGTCTGCACTGCTGCACACCTCAACAAAGACAATATGCTGGTTTAAATGAGAGACTGAGCAACAAAACCCACAAGAATATGTCTCCTGGAACAGGTATTTGCAGTACTGTCCTACAGAGCAGAACTCGACACCTTTCATCTTACAGACCACAGATACGAACTTCTCTTTCTTCTGATCCTGGTGCTGGGCAGTGAGATGTAAGCAGATGTCTAAAGGCCTTGCTCAAACCCTAAATTTTTAAGAGTTTCTTTTTATTATTTGTTATCAATAACACATGTTGCTAAGAGATCAAGAGACCAAAGTGTGGATGAGCACTTCTAGCTGCTTGGAGCTATAGGGAAGAGAGTAACAGTGAAGCCCAATCCACCTAGAATGGCAGTCAACAGGGGCCAGCATCCCCCAAGGTCCCCCCACTACTCCTTGCTTAGCTCTGCAAAGTCTCCAGCTCCCCTCCTTGCTGGTGCCAGACCTCACGTGCAGCAGGAGATCTGCTTTGAAAACCTCTGCAGAAGCTGCTGATGAACAAGACCTCAGGAGAGGCAGAGTCATTTCTTTTGACAGAGTCCCAAACCATTACCCTAGCTGAGCAATGCAGAGTTCAAGGCACCCATGAAATGATGAAAAATGAATGCAGTGTGGCTCAATCTTGTGCCTCAAAAATATCAGGAGCAAAAACACTAAATGCTAAGAAAAACTGCTGGAAAACTCTAGACTTTTTTTTTGTTTTTAATGGAACAACTTGGATTTTGCTTATTTCTTCAGTAAGCAAACAGAAGAAAAATAAATTTCTATTTCCAAAATAAAAGTTAAACAGTTACATAAACCATATGACAGAAATCCTTCGGCTTACTCATGTGTTGGTAATTTCTTCCTTAGAAGGATGAAAAAAAAAAATAAATTTGTAACTATTTTTCCATACAAAGTGTGCATGAAAACCACTGGTCCCCTTGTCCTCAAACAGAACAGAAGTTGATCTTTCACCAGCCTCTGTCTCCTTTGCCCAACAAGAAACCCAGCAACAGCTGCTGGTAAGTACTGTGTGAGAAGCACAGACTGGAGACACTGAGGCAACAATCAATGTAGGAGAAGTATCCCCACTCTTTTGGCCAAGATTTTGTACACATTGCTTTCCTAAATCTGCAAGTAGTCAGTAAAACATCTAGGTGCAGAGAGATGCTGCATCTGGATATACCTGAAAACAAGCCACCACACAGGGCTTAAACAACCCTTTAGTTTTGCTTTAGTGAAGCACTGGCACAGGTTGCCCACAGAGGTGGCAGATACCTCATCCCTGGAAACATCTGAGGTCAGGCTGGACCAGACTCTGAACAACTTGACTGAGCTGCAGGTGTCCCTTTGCCCCTTTTCAGTGCAAGCGAGTTGGACTAGATGGCCTCTAAAAATCCCTTCCAACCAAACAATTCTACAGCTCATTCAAGCTCCCTTGCTTACATGAATGGAGCAGCCTGTGTGTGTGCCCCTAAGAGTAAAGGGCTCGAAAGTAAAGTGCTGGGCTGCCCAGGGGGATGGCTGGGGCAGGAGGGGAGTGTTCACCCAGCACAACCATGTCTCCAAACCTGCTCTTGGCGCTCCCGTTCCAGCACTCATTCTCATTGCCTGTGCCCACAGATATCTTTTCATCACTGCAAATATTGCCAGGGAGAGATGACCAAAATTTTTTGGCCTGCTTCAGCTTTTCTTTCACATCAGTAACCTATTAAAAAAAAAAAAAAAAAAAAAAAGAAATGCAGGACACAGTCCAGAATACCAAAGACTCATTAAAAGTGAAGCTGGAAAGGTATTTTTATCACAACAGACGTGCACAGGCCAGCTCGTTAGGCTGCATGTAAAGTTGCGTCGTTTTGATGGTTGATTTACTTTTTTAATACAAAATTAAACACCACTCTTCAAACACATATTACTCATAAGCGAAGCCTTTAAAACAGGCACTTTCTGACACACAAGCATTGAGGTAATTCACATGCAGAGCCACGGGCAGACTACACCCCTCAGAGAGTTTAAGACAGCCAAGGAGTATTAAAAAACCCTATAAATTACCAGTGGAAAAAGCACACTGCTCAACATGGGAGAGCAGCACCCGAGTGGTACCAGCAGGACGGGGCACTCACCAGCCTGTCCAAGCTCGTGCCTGCAGCTGTGGTCGGCCGCTCTTCAGGGTTGTAGGGTCTGAAACGAGCACTGAAACCACCCTCAGAGACGGAGCGAGCGGTTCGACCTTGGGTGAGTGTTTTTGGTTGGCCACATCCCTGGAAAACCTGGGCAAGGGAAAGAAACGAGCTTAGAAAACGGGAGCTCACAAGAAGCCTCCACTTTGGAAGCCTGCAGACCGCCCTTCAAAATAATAAATCAGCTCTCTGTATACTTGAAAAGGCATTAAGGGAAAAAAAAACAAACACAAATCAACTAGAATAGGGGAATATAAGAGACCGGATAAATAAAACCTGTGCACCTGTTGTCCATTTACCTTCTGAGACACTTGCATGCTGTTCTCCTGCATATTCATGATTGCATCTGAAATTTTCACATCAATGGGGTCCATGACTGACTCAATATTAAAAGGCCCCTCCAGCCTCTCTGCGACCAGCAGCATCGAACCTAACACAGAGAGAAGCAGAGGTTTTTAATGGAGCTGCCTCAAAGATAACTCTCACCAGCATCCCCCCAGACACCTGTAAAAGGCAACATGGTGTTGGCATTTGGAACTCCACACGACACAATGTGAACAAGACACTGAGGCAAGATGCAGTGATGACCTGGTCAGTGAGGACCATGAAGGTGCCACTGCAATATCGCTTCTGACCAGCACGCATCTCCAGGAAACATTCTACTGCATTCCCAGAGGTTGGAACATCACCAGGCTGCTTGTCGGCACTTCCCAGCCTGCCAGCACCCGGCCACGGGCTCATACACATCAAAAGCAGCACTAAATGAGGGAGAGCCTTTGCAGTCTGCCAGAAGGCAGTCTGTAATCAGCTACTCCCATTAGAACAAGCATTACTAAAACCCTCCTCTCCATACTCCATACTTATTTATTAAAGGTTTCCTTGTGTCATTTGTTTTTAGAGACTGCTTTCAGCGCTGAGAGAAAGGCACCAGGGTCTTTGTGCTAGTCCTGAAGATGACACCAACATAGAACACCACAGCCTCATCCTTACGAAAAGCTCCAGACTTTGCTGTGCCTGGAGAAGAAAGATGATTGCACAGTCTGGCCTTGCGTGGACAATTTACGCAAGGAAGGTGGCAAGAGAGCAGGGTAAATGCTTGGCACATGTCTACTAAAGGGGCTATGGAAAAGTCCCTCAGCCAGCACTAGGTCAGTCTTCCCATGCTGACGTGCACGTATTCATCAAAAACATCATTAAGCAGAAGAGCTACTGAGCTTCCATTACTTCCACTGGGAAATTATTATTAGTGTTGAAGATTTCAACCTGCATTGCTTTCAAGCCTTTCCCGAGTCATCGCTGAATGGCAGCTCCAGGCACACGTCTCGTGCTAAGCACTCATTTTTCTTGCCCATTGCATCGCTTTCTCTGCAGTCTTTCCATCCCCAAAGCACTGTTCTCTCCTCTCCTGCATCACTTCACGCTGCTATGCCACAAACTCCTAATTTTGCCTTTGCATTGAACTCTTTGAATTCCCCCTGCTGTGACGCAAAGGCCAGCGCCATGGCCCCGAGAGAGCCCTGTCCCAAGGAGCTCCTCCCTCCTCCCAAGGATACGCCTGTTCTCCTCCATTAAGGAGAAGTGGGTGTTTCACATTCAGCCTATTAATTTCCTTTGAAAAGTGTTTCTAGTGACATTCATTCTCCTCCTTAAGTGCAGAAGGGTACTTAGGAAAAGCAGAAAACTTCTGTGGACTTTGCTTATCAGTTGAAGTCCATTAAAGATGCTCCACACGTGAAACAATTTACTAATAGCACTGCCTCAGTGTCTAATTCTTTTTAAATAAAAAACCACCACCCTAAAAATTATAAATACATATAATCAAGCTACTTGCATATTTATAAAATTTTAAAAATCTATAAGTCCCAAGAACTCAACACCAAGACCACCACACAAGCTGCAGAAGCATTCCTAGCTCAGAAATGCAGACTGTAATGACAACTCAGTGTAATAAAGTGGCTGGGCATTAATTAAGGACTGATCAGTGAATCAAGGCAACCTAAAAATTGCTTCGGAGGAAACGCAGCGTCAGAGGGACCAGGGGTGCCATCCAAGGGATGTTTAGGGACAAAACCCACCAGGAGCTCAGCCCCCAGGAAACACCCTCACTCTGCAGATGGACAAAACCACCATTAATGCTGGAGCTGCTGCAGGGCTGGAATTTAGTCAGTGACTACAAACAGGTCTGAACTAAATGCATTTTTTTTTTTTTTTTTTTTTTTTTTAAGAAGGTAATAACAAACGAAACAAAGAATCTTAGACTGCATTGTGGTGGGCTCCAATAAAGTGATGCTTCAAATCTCTGAGTAATGACTGCTAGCATGAATATACCATTGTGCCAGGGGGGAGAAAAATGCTTTTGATGTGCTACCAAATGGAGACTTTTGTAAACAAGTGGAGCACAACTTAAATGTGTTCATCATTGTCAAAGCGTTTGCGGTTTTTCACGCGCATAAAGAACATCCCATCACAGTTTGCAGGAAGCTGCTCATTTCAAATAAAAATATTATGAATGGGCAGATAATAAAAGCACGCAAAAAAAAAAAATGCATCGTTTTAAAAGAAAAAAAAAAAATCATTCCATTTTGTAACTACTTAATTCTCCGAGTGGCCGGGGAAGGCCGCAGATCAATAAAGTGTTTGTGAAAGACTGAAAGGAAACATAAACCCCGATTCTTCTGGCTGTTTGGCGTCTTTGTAAACTTTGAGCCGGGCAGGCCATACACAAGACCATGGGAATGTAGAGCGAATTGGGCCCTTTGTTACCGATGGTGCCATGGCGTTACATGTATCACAGAGAAGGAATGCAGCCTCTGCTTTGACTGCCGATATAGAAAATGCATTCGGCCTCCAGCAGAGCTGCCAAAGCTGGCTATAAAAGATAAGGAAAGTAATAATTGCCTTTGGAGAATACGTTCGACTGTAGCTCTTCACGAGCGGCGTTAGATACTGGCAAGGAGCACTAAATGAAACCAACTTTCATTAAAAAGAAAAATAAAAGGAGGGGAGAAGGGGGCTCCACCCAGCCCTCGGTTTTGATTCGGGGGCCATCCCACAACCTTCTACCTCCCACCAGGAGCTGGCTGGTGTCCCCACCAGCAGGCAGAGCCAGCGGTGGATTCCCTCTGGCAGCCACATTTGACATTAATAAGGCTGGCTGGGATTCAAGATAACATTAGCATCGCGGCACTTTGAGAGGGGAGGCAAGTTGCACTACAGCCGTAAATACAGCCTAGGTGCAACTCGTCTCCCCAAAAGATCTTCCTCTCCTCACCCCTCCCCAGCTCCAGCTCAAACTAATTGACATTTATAAGGCAGGGCAAGGTGGCTCAGCAAGTTTGATCTGCTTCACAAAAAAAGTCCAGCAGAGTGAAAAATGTACCCTGGTCACTTATTACAAACACACAGCGTGACAAAGACTGTCTCTCCTCAATGTGCTGGGGGAGATGGAAGTGGATTTGGAGGGGGGAGGAACAACAAAAACACCACACCGTACAGCTCCATGCCTTAAAGACCCTTTTCCTCCTGCATACATTTGTCCTTGCTACTGGCATTGAGACAATCCTTGGCGACAAAGCACCTCGCTCTCATGAAGGAAAGCAATTCTTTCGCATTGTGCCACAAATAATCAGAAACCCACATCTTCAGTCTCACTGTCTGACTTGAAGAACAAAAGGCAGTTCTCAGTCTTAACCCCAAGATCTGATTTAAAAGGGGAGGGAAGGAGGGAGAAGACCTTGACCATTCATTAACAACAATCGTCATCTCTAAAAGGGAAAAATTCTTTGTGCGCAAAGTAGTACTCCAGATATGTATATGGAGCCTGAATTCTACATCTTCGAGCAGAGTAAATCTTTGTAAGGAAAAAAGAAAAATCATGAAAAGGCACTGGAGATTAACACTGCTCATTCAGGAAAGCCTCACACACCCCGCCACCGCAAAGCTTGCTTGAAACAAAGTATACCCCTGTCTAATGGGTGCACAATTGTGCCGAGGATGGATGGCGAAATAATTTAAAGACAGTTAAATGAGAGAAAAAGAGTAAAATTCAGCCGTTATGTCACACGCTGCAACTTTAAACGGTACTTTGCAGAAGGAAGGCAGGAAGGAGGCTTTGTCTTGAAAAACCTACAGACTCAACATCCCCGTTTTGGAAAAGCTTTACACAATGACTTTCACATAGAGCCGCTAACCGTAGAATACTGTCAAGCTAGGAGAAAACAGGTAATGGACATAGAGAGAAGCAAGGGTTACTGAAGGAAAGGAAAGGCAAAGATAAGAAATAACGCTTAGCCATACTACAGTGAGAAATACTCCTATAAATTAGGTGCTTTCTTAAAAAACAACAGGAGCACAAACACATGCATACGCAGATGCTATTCTACACTCGCATGTAACTTTGCACATACTTCCAGTATTTATTACAAGTTTCCCCCTTCAACTGCCTTTATTTTACTAGTTTCAAAATCTACTTTTTTACACGCAATAAATAACTTGGTATTTAAGCCCAAAATGCAAAACAGCAGAGCCCGTGCAACTGGGTTGCTGTGTTTTTTTTTTTTTCCTTTTAAACTTTTAAAAACATACACAAAGGACATTTGTCACACGTTTCCCCCTCAAACACGAGATCTATTTAAGTTTATTTGCCTCAAGAGTCAAATTGAGATGGAAAAAAAGCCTGCAATGTAACCAGCACCTCTTCAGTTATTAAACTGACCATAGAAAGCACAGCTTCAGTTTTCAATATCTGTACTCCACCGCAAGAATCAGCCCAGAATGCAAGAAAAAAAGCAGCAAATACTGCCAGCAAATGTAACAAAGCCTAAGACTGTACTTAAGCAATGAGTGGCCAAGAAGCCCTTTAGGGAGGAAGCACTGCAAGAAGCTTTGCTTCCATCCTGGAATCGTATTTATTTACTTTGTCTTGTTTAATAATCTTAATTATCGCACACAGTCCCTGATCAGCCTCATGTGACAGGGCTCACTGGCTCCCCCCAAGTTTCCTTTTTAGTTGCATGCCACCTACAGCAATTAGCTGCTTGTGCTTTTGTCTGTTTCCTGGCATTATGCCCTTCCCTTTCATGGGATTCCTCTTTTCTACTTGGACTAGATGTTTGCAAGTCTCCTGGCTTTGAGCTGTTTCAGCAACAATCGTAGCTGAAATACTTAATATTCTCATGAGAAAGAGGGCTGGGAGGAATGGAGGGGGGCGGGGTGTCAGACTCCCAGAGAATGACTTGGAAACCCAATTTAGCTTCACATTTAATTCCCTGTGTGGGATATACAGGCAAAAATATACGCCTTCTGAAAATATTATCCTGCACACAAGTTGGCACAGTCAGTTAAGTGAAAAGCTGATGCACAAAACATGAGAAAACAAGTTCTGTGATTTGAATGCAGCCTGAGATGCCAATTATCAGCAATTACCCCCCGACCTTTTTTTTTTTTTTTTTTTTTTTAATCTCACAGCTTAATGAAAGGGAAATCTTTTCTTCCTAACAGCTCCTTTTTCCAAGAGCAGGATTGGAAGAGCACCACAGCCTCGTCAGTAGCTGCAGGAACTTCACATGTGCACTTCATCATACATTAACTGGAGTGAAGTGACTGCTCCCAAAGGATGCTCTTACACAGATAAATCAAGATCCTCGAAAAGGAGAACAAATGAAAACATTTAATGTTACCTATTGCCTGTGTCCCCAGAACATGATGCGCCACAAATTCTGCTGTCCTGACCCAAGGTGGAATTTAACATTTCAGTCTATTCATATACCTGACTTGTCAGTCTACTGCATATACCAAATAACACCATTAATAAACATGGAAGAGAAATAAACAGGAGGAAGACGATGGCAGAAATGCTTGCAGAGCATCACTTACAGCCTATCAACATTTCTAAAGGACAGCAGCTGAGCGCCAAATGAGCTGTTTAGAAATGGATTTAGACACATGTTCCATTCAAATTTTTAATGTAAAATACAGGCCTACAGCTTTTCCCAAAGCTCACCACGGCTGCATAGCAAGAAAACTGGCTTTAGGAAGGACAGCTGTATGGTGACAAAAACATGCAAAGAGTCATATGGAAAAAACAGCTTGTACGTACATTACAAAGAAACCAGAGAAAGGATATGAGAGCTTCGTGATGGAAATCCTTGGAGGCAGAGGGAAAAAACTAGGGTCTGATCCAGCAAGGGAAAGCAGAGGCTGCAACAGCAGATCCACTGGCAGTATTGGTCAAAATAGCTTAGAGTTAGCAAGCCTCCACACTAAATTAGGACTCTCTTTCCATGCTTCTTAGAGGTCATAATCTAGCTCAGCTTCCAGGCTTTTGGACATTGTGATGAATCAAGATAGAGGATGTGTATCACATACAGTGTATATTCTTGCTATAGCAAGAAGAAACACTCCAAACCTACAAACACATGGCAGCTTTACCCTCCTAAAGTTTGCTTCAATAGAGATTGCTGGTGCAATGAAAGACTCATTTATTCAGAAATTAACATGAACTGCAAAAGCTTTACCATATACAGAGATGTAAAAGGAAGAGGTACCTGCCACAGACACCTTAAAATCTGCTGTAGCAAACATGGCCACTGTCAAAAGCCATTCACAGGAGGGACATAATATCAGGGAGTACTTACGTGCAGTTTTAACCCATTTTCCTTACCCATAAAGATATTCCACTCTGTATCCAAATCCCCTTGGTTGGCCAAGCAGCCTCTCATGACATTAAAGCAGTAATTGTAACAGGGCTTCACTGATATCAGACCTCGACAGTGCGGGCAGTACATCATTTTCAGCAGTGCTTGCGCACCCTGTGGTGTAGGGTTCACCTTTAAAAGAAAAAAAGAGAAGCAAATTAGCCCTTAGTCATTAAAGCAAATACCCCACACATTTGCCATGGGGCTGGTGGGAATGGAGCTGTGCAATCAAGACCCATCAGGTCTTCGCTGACGTGTGTGCTTCCAGGGATCTGGAAAGTGGATGAGGAGTTTTTGGCCCTCCTCCTTGGGCAAACCTGCTCTCAGGGGTCGCAGCCAGTCCTCCCCTCAGCATGAAATCAGCACTAAAACACACCCAGACAAACGTCGTGGGTCCCCTCCTTGTGCTGGAAGGACAGCAGAGCTATCTGCGGTCATCGAGTCACCCTTGAACCCACAGCAGAGCTGTTCTCAGAAATGACTCACGGTCATTCATGTTTGATTCACTCCCTGGCCTGGCTTCAAAACATTCATTGAAGCAACTTCCACGCCGTCTGCCTGCAAAGCACTACCACCAGCACCACACCTCCCTGCTGGCTGCATGGTAGATCCATCTGAGGCACTGAGCAGGCTCTCCTCCTCAGCAGCCAGTCTGAGGTCTGATCAGCCATATGCAAAAATGGAAAATTAAGTCAGGACTGCAGACATGCTGACAAAACAGAAGCAGTCTCCAGAGTTTTTAAGCAATGCACTTGTGACCTCCCATAAGGCATTTACATAGAGTGCTCTAAATAGGTTGTGATCCAAGACTGAGGGGAGGAGACTCACGTGCACCAGAGCAAGAGGAGAGGTCATTCAGTACATGTGGCACACCTCTGCAAACTTCTTGCTCAGGACTGTGCAAGTCTATGGAATAAAGACCCACACAGAACTGCCACGTTCACCTCCATCTCCACCAGCCTCTGAGCAGCAGTTTCTGGAAGCTAGGAGAACACCCGAGGAGAGGTACCCCCATCGCCTGCCCTGTTCTCTCTCTTTTCCTCAGGCACCACCACTGGTTTCAGACAAACCTCCACCTCTTGACGCCCCCCAGGGACTGGAGAGATTACCAAAACTGGCTGGCTTTGCCAATAATGGCAACAGAGTTTTTTCGGAAAAGAGAGGAAAGATAGAAATCTGTTGTCTTTGTGCCAACTCCAAAAAGAACACAGTTTCTCTTCAACAGGCAAGGAAACCAGGCAGAAAGACTGAAGGACAATTTTCTGTGGTTGAGCTGGATTTTGGCTGGCTAGCAACAATCATTCAGGCATCATCTGTACCCCTCTTATCTGTGAGGAGCACTGACTGCAGCTTCCACTACTCAGGCACTCAGGGTGCTCAGAGCCTGCTGCTGTCAACAAGAGCCACTTGAATTTTTAGAAAGGAAGCGAGATGCCTTCACACACCCCAGACAGAGGGCCCACGACAGTTCTGAGACATGAGTTAAGATCCCAAGAAATAGCTCTGTGCTAAAGAGGCAGACAGCAAGATGCCGTCAGAAACCACTGCATGTCTGGCCAAGACAAAATCCTCCACCATCGCTCTGCACTGAGCAGCGGGACAAAGAACGGTTGTCCCTCATCCTGCTGGCTGAGCTGAGCCATTTGGGGACTTGACAGAACTCATAGCACTGAAGCAGGAGCACACTTGGTCCCAAACCCTTACAAACAAAAGACCCCGCTGCCCATTTGGTGGAGCAAATGGAGCCGTGGCGCTCAGCGCAGAGAGCTGTTTGTGGCAGCAGGGGAATCTGATCTGGAGGCTTCAGAGCACGGCTGTCTGGAAGGCGCAGCAGGAGCAGGAGCCCCAGCAGAATGCTCCCCATTGGGGCAGAGCTAGTTCAAACACTGGGAAGAGCTCATGCAACAGAAAACAGCCAAATCAGATGATTTATAGTAGGAAAACTGGAAACAGACAAATGTAAAGGTATCATCTGCCAGCCAGATGGTTCAGTCCCTGAACAGCAAAAAAGCTGAAGAAGGAACAAAACATCTCACAGCCACAGACAGAGCTCTGAAGGACCCCCATTTCCGTCACTTTTCTAACAAAAATCCAGTCAGTGCCAGGATCCCCATGCTTAGCCAAGGCTTATGAGCAGATCCTGCCCATCTCACCACTGCTCACCCTCATAGAAGCGCCTTGCATCCCTCTTGGGAAGAAAATCAGAAATAGTACCATGATGCCCTTCAGCCAAATGCCAGAGCAACGTTCAGCAGAACTGAGGACTCCATCAACCCCATGATAGAAAGGTGAGGTTTTATGCAAGGGACCACATGGCAGCACGTTATGAAAAACCATCAGCCCAGCACCTTCCTATCTTAGGCTCCTTGTTCACACCATGCGGCTGTGACCTTGCAGCATCCACCCTGCTTTGATATTTCATCGGGTTGATCTTTATGGATCCCAGCAGATGCAGGGGAAACCGAAGCTGCCTTCCCACGTTCCACTGCGGACGAACGGTGCTACGAAGACATCGGCCGCTCGCTCAGATTTGGTGCTGCAGGCATCCTTGGAACAAAGACCTGGTTTGATTTTAAAAACCAACAGAGTTTGGCTTCCTTTCCTATACAGGGTCATTCTGAACCTAAGATAAACCCCATGACAAACCTCTGCCCGCAGTGACTGCCCAGTAGAAGCATAGACTATGATGGATGTAGTCCCACACATAAGCTCTTATTTTACAATACAACTGCAGGAGGGAGACAAAGGAGGAATTCACCAGTCCCGATTTGACATTTTATGGCTTTAGAGAGCAACGGGAAAGTATAAATAGAGATTGCCTATAAGAAAGGGTTTCAGGGAAGATTATGAGTAATTACGCCTCGTTATAACACTGATAAATGCTTAACTACCACATATCACTGCAACAAGAACCTTAACCCCTGGCAACACGCCCGTGCCCAGTCCAGACCAATTCTGGATCTGTCAGAGGGATGTGCCATATGTTGCACTGGCAATTCTTCACAGGCTTTTAATGTTCACTCTGCCATGCCAGGTGCAAGCTCTTAAAACACCATTGTATGTAACAGAAAACCCAGATATGCTTTGTTCTAGGGTTGTGTTTATCTTGGAAAGCAACTCAAGTTCATTCAAACGCTACTCTAGAATGACCCTCAAAACCAAGTAATCTCCTTTCTAATAAAGCTGAGTCCCAAAGAAAGCTTTATTTGCCAAAAAGGATTTACTCCAATAGATTTGAACCCAGGTAGTATGTTGCAGTGCACGTAGCTTCCAAAAAGCTTATAATAGAAGTAAATGCACTCCAAACCCCTCCTTTTATCTTGTGAAATTTATTTCCTTTCTATGCCATTCCATGCCACTGCAGCAATCCATCACCCTGTGGTTTCATCATGGAAATTACAATTTGTCCGTGTCTATATGCTTTGTCAAACATGAAGATTAAAGGTTGCTGACAGATGTATTTTGGCACCCATCTTCACATACAGATACAAACTTCAAAAAATTACAGATTTTCACACAAAAAAGGTAAAAAGAGACAATTATGGGATTTCTGAGTATAACTTCAATGTTTCATACTGTATTTGTCAAGGTACACCCCAACTTACATTGACTGGTGAAGATGCAGTCATGTTCCTGTTAAAAGGAAGCGTGTTCTATGTAACAAAACCTGAGTTTTGTGGATACCTTGCTATATTCACCACATTTTTTCAAGTTTCACATGTTTTACTATGCATCCTTAGCCTTCTCCTAGCAGTTAGCACTTGTACCTGGATGCATGATGCTAGTAGAAACTTCACAGTTGAAGCACCTACCTACCAAGGGAAATGCCTCATAACAGCCTCCATAAAACCACCAACACTCCAGAAAACCAATTTGTGCAAGCAGCGAAGGCTCAGAGGCCCAACCAGCCTCCATTCCCCTCCCTCCTAAGGCAGGAAAGAGCTGAGGAGGGATGACAGAGGTCCAGCTGTGGTTCTGCAGGGAGCTGCAGCCAGGCAGGGAACTCCCACCAGCTGCCAGAGCCACATTTCATTCTCTCACTACCCGAAAGTCAACATTAAGAATCTTAATAACAACATTTAAAATCCTGTCAGCTTTAATAACTATTTATAATAACACTGATAACTTAGGCTTTCTTATTTTCCAAGCTTGCACAGTTACAGCGTTGCCATGCCAGCAGCACCGCCACCAGAAAACAAAATCCAACAATTTGCAAATAAGAGCAGTGAAATTACTTTTGATTTATGTTGTGTTCACTTCACAAAAACCAAATTAGGGCAATACTAGAGAAAGAAGATTTAAAAAGCGACTCCTCAGTGATACGGAAAGAAGATTTCATGACAAAAAAGGAAACAAGAACAACAAACCAAGAAGCCTCCACGACCAGCTGAAGGACCAGTGAGCAGCCACTTGTAAGACAAGTGAAGCATCGTTGGTTTTGAGGATTGACACAGCCTCACTTGTGTAATATTTTCCTCCACTCCATGTTTTGCAAGAGCACACACCAGTCAAACATTCAGCTCCCTGTGAAGATCACTCGAGCGGTTCTTGGTTTGCTTCCCCAGCCCAAATATTCCAACGAAAGTGTTTTGGAATTAACAGCACATTTCAGTGTTTAACTGACTCTGCTGGCCCAGCGTTGGTGCATGAATAATTTAGAAAGCATCTGATTTAACCACAGATCTGGGCCTCCAAGGTGTTGCACAACAGAACGCATTTTAAGAGAGAGATTTGGGAACAGCGCAGCTCTGTGCCTCGTCAGTATTCAATACCCATGATGATGCTTTCTGCTATTTTATCTGTCTGGTTACAGTCACCAGTCCTCTGTGCAAGAAAAAGTTCAAGAGTGCATTTACACTTAATTCTCTACTCACAGTTTGCCTTTTCTCTTTTCCTCCTTCAATGCATGCAGACGTGACACTGTCAGGCAGGAGCAGCGGAGTTCCTGAGAACCAATGCACCATGCACTTGACCAGCTCAATTTTAACATTAATGTGTCAAAAGCAGACTACTACATGCTCATCTTGAAGGGTTTGTATTCTTTAGCAGTTGCCATAGGATTATACTATCCCACACGATGCCACCAAACACAAGCGCCCTCTAAACGCAGCTTCTTCTCTGAGCACCCACCT